CAGAGCGTCCACACACGGACATGGACACACGGGGGCAGAGCGTCCACACACGGACACACGGGGGCAGAGCGTCCACACACGGACACACGGGGCAGAGCATCCACACACATACTGTTAAAGGGGAAGAATGTGTTCTGTGATACAGCCAGGAGGAAAGGTGAAAAACAAAACAGAAGCGCCCTTTCCTGAGGTTTGGCTTATATAACACATGGCCCTTCACTGAGGTTTGGCTTATATAACACATGATTCACATTTTTATAATGTAGCGTGGATATTGTTAGTAAATATGGTGAACTGTTACTACTGTTTTAGAACATTTCCATCATCCCTCAAAGGGCTGCTAGGTGCTCATTCGCAGTGACTTCTGACCCCAGCCCCAGATAACCAGTAATCTCCTTTCTGTCTACATATTTGCCTTTTCTGACAGTTGCTGTAGACAGACTTGTATATAGAGTGATCTTTTATATGTGGCTTATTTTACTTTATATGTTTTTTTGTTTTTATCCATGTTATGGGGTGAATCAGTACTTTATTGCCAAAAAATATTCTTTGTTCTGTGGATGTATCACCGTTTGCTTATTTATTGGTTGATGGAGTTTGAAATAGGATCTTGCTACATAGCCCAGTCTGGCTTGGAATTCACTAGGTGGGTCAGGGTAGTCTTAAATGCAATTATTCTCCTGCCTCTGCCTCCTAATTGTTTTTATTTCTATTGAATAGAGAACTTAAGAATGGAATTTCTGGACAATGTGAATTTATCTTTAGCTTTTAAAGAAACTATTAAAATATTTTACTCTTGGGATGTGAGTTGCTTTAATTTCTATGTGTTGTTAGGCCACTATATAAGAGTTACTTGAACACAAAAACTGCAGTATCTTGGTAGTGATCTGACAACCTAGGCAGTTACTTCATAACTAACATATGGGTAGCATATACAGAATAGATATACTGGAAAGAGATGACCCATGGCCCAGGATGGACAGAACAAGATAGAGTTCATCATCTTATTCAGAATTGTGGTCAGTATAAAACTGAATTTGCTGGGGCATGGTGGCATACACCTTTAATCCTAGCACACAGGTGGCAGAGACAGACTGATTTCTGAATTCCAGGCCAGCTAGAAATACATCAACCCTGCCTCAGAAACAAGCATGATTTATGAATTATTTCTGGGTTTTCCATATAATTTTTTAGGAATATAGGTATCTGAAATCATGGAGAGCAAAAATCACCGGAAAGGGGCTGTTATTCTCTTTTTTTATCCAACTTTTGAGTTCTCTTAGGACTTAGAACTCTTGTGGCGCCGGAGAGATGATTCAGTAGGTAAAGGGTTTGAGGAATTGAGCTTGGATCCCAAGCCAGGGTACTGGGGAGGCAGAGACAGGATGATGCTTGGGACTAATTGGCCAGTCTGGAAAGCTGGTGATCCCTAGGTTCAGTGAGAGACTGGTCTCAAGGTTTGGTGGTGGTTGTGGGGGGAGGGGGGGAGGTGAGGGGGAGACAACACAAGGTGGTAAAATCCCTTGCTGTGAAACCTAACAGACTTGAGTTCAGTCCCTGAAACCTGTGATGGAAGGAAAGAACAGAGGAATCCTGAAAGTTGGCTTTTGACCTCCATATATGGGCCATGGTACATGCACTTACATACACATATGCACAAATACTAATAAATAAAATTTAAAAATCACCCCTCTTTCTGACGCAGCTTCTATGATGCTTTGTTGTAATAGCATGATTACTGGCTTGCCACTGTCTTTGGCCTAAACTCTTATATAAGTTCAATAAACGTTTGTTAAATGGCTAAATTACAAGATGAAGTAGTGGGGGAATAGTAGTGTCTATTTAAAAGTCTAGAGATTAGGGCTGGCAGGATGACTCAGCGGATAAAGGTGATTGTCACACAACTCTGGCCGCCTGAATTGGATCTCCAGAACCCACATAAAGGTGAAAGGACGGACTCCACAGAGTTGTTCTCTGACCTCACATCATGCGTATGTACACAAAAGTAATAACAAAATCTAGACATGAAAGATCCAAATGTGGTTGTACTAGTGTTAGGAATAGTGCCTGGTTACATGGTATTTTATATACTTAGGTATTACAAGCCCTTTATATTATTAGTATTATCATTATTTTGAGAAATGTTATTACCATAGTCCAAGACTGGCCTGGAACTTACTGTGTAGCCAGTCTTTCTGCCTCAGTCTTCTGACTGAGGGTAAAGGTGTGAGCCGCCATGTCCAGCTTTGTGTTTCTTTGTGTTAGTTAGAAAAACATGGGGTTGGGGATTTAGCTCAGTGGTAGACTGCTTGCCTAGCAAGCGCAGGGCCCTGGGTTCCGTCCTCAGCTCTGGGGGGAAAAAAAGCAGAAAAACATGTAAAAGATAACACTTTGTGGATGTGATTGTATGCTGTCAATTAGTGAGTGTTCTTTAAAATTAACAGATTTCTACTCCCTTCTCTTTACATAATTATGCACAAAAAGTCATTAGTAGTGGAGATTTAAAAAAAAAAAAAGCCCTTTGCAAACCCTAGCACTCTCCACAATCGTGTAACAGATTTCCTAGGGAGGACACCCCCCTACCCCCCATACACATACCTAGTTACTCAAATAGGGAACTGATTGAGAGAACAAAGTACATACACTATCAAAGTCCTACTTGGTGAACCAATGAGTTTTATTAGGGTTATTTACAGGGGCAGAAAGGACTCAAAAGACAGTTGTATCACCAAAGCTGGAAAACCTAGTAGGCAGCTCAACTGGTTGGGGAGTGTCCATTCCAGATGTCTCAGCTGGTTTGGGCCTCTTCCAGGGAGCTCAGCTGGTCTCTGTTCCCAGGGGGCTTGTCTGAGTGTGACTCTTAGCAGTCTTTACTATTTATATATTCTTGGGGAAAGAGAGACCTAGTAAGTCTAGCCAGTTTCAGGGACTTCCTGTAGCTGGTTTGAGTTGTTTACTTTCTATCATGAGCTTCCCTGCAGGATGGAATGTTTTATCTCCAGGAAGCTGCTAGTCAGCCACAATCCTCTTACTGTATCAGTTAGTCTGCATTTGTCCAGTCTTTGTGTGTATAACCTTAAACTAGCATCTATTGTAATATTAACTGTCAGAGCTGGGGAGACGGCTCAGCAGATAAAGGGCTTGCTGTGTGACCGTGAAGACCCGAGTTTGGATCCCCAGCCCCTTACATAAAGGGGAGACAGACAGGAGGCTCCCTTGGCCTGGCTTGCCAGCCCTTCTTGCCAGTCAGTGAGATCCAGGTTCAATGAGAGCAGTAGAGGAGACACCCCCGCCTCTGCATGCCCGCGCACACATACACCAACACATACACACAAAATAAAACGGTGAACTTCAGAAGACAAAATATATTCTGTTTTGTAGTAGTATTAAGTGGCCTTTTAATCTAGTAAGCTGACTGGTATATTTAGTGAAAGGTGTATTTTCATTTTTTTTTAATATTGGAAATAACCTCTGTCCCCTGAGCTTCTTTGTTTTTTCCTTTTTGCAGTGCTGGGGATTGAACGGAGGGTGTGCAGAGTTCCCAGCCCCAGCCGCTTGCTAGCTTCCTTTTTCAGAGGGAATCTGTTTCATTTACTCTTCTTTGAACAGTTATTTCTGTGTATGAGTGTTTTGACTGTGTGTGTGTACGTATATCACAGGCATGCAGTGTCTGTGGAGGGCAGAAGAGGGTGGTGGATCTCCTGGAACTGGTGTTACAGACAGCTGTAAGCTGCTGTGGGGATACTGGGAACTGAACCTGGGTCCTCAGAGAGCAGCAAGTGCTTTTAACTGAGCCATCTCGACAACCCCTGTTTCATTTGCTTTTTAAGATGTAATTAAACATTTCTTTAACAATTACTTTATGTGTACAGGTATTTTGCCTTCATGTATGCCCATGCACGACATTCATGCCTGGTGCTTGGGGAGACCAAAAAGGGCATTTGATTGCCCTGGAACTGGAGTCATAGATATGAGCTGCCATATGGATGTTGGGAATTGAACCTGGGTCCTCTGGAAGAGCAGCAACAGTTCTTAATCCTGAGCTATCTTTCCAGCCCCTAATGTAGTTTTTAAAAATAGCATATAAAATAATGGATTTCTTTATGACCTTTTTATGCATGTATAGAGATGATTTATTCTGAGATAATTTCCTAAAGTAAATTTGTAGCTGTTGTTTATGGCTTGAAGGTAGTGTAATGGTTTTCTTAGATTTCCTCAGAGGTAATAGCAAAGCAATATTAAGATTGTAAAATACATTATCTGCATAGCCATAAGAGCACTTGCTGTTCTTGCAGAGGAGCCAGGCTTAATTCTCTGTATGTACATGGCCCTCATCTGATGCCCTCTTCTGGCCTGCGTGAGCAACAGGCATACAGATAGTGCACATAAAACCAGGCAAAACATCCATGTGCATTTAAAAAAGAAGTAAGTCAAAGGAAACTTGTGTATTTCTCTGTTTTAGCCGGGGTCTTGCTGGCCTTGGCTTGTGGCAGTCTTCTGCCTCTGCTAGGATTGCAGACATTACACCTGGCATAAACTATCACGTTCTTCTTTTTTTGAAGTTTGTGCGTGTGTGCGTGTGTGTGTGTGTGTGTGTGTGTGTGTGTGTGTGTGTGTGTGTGTGTGTGTGTGTAGGTCTTCCACGGAATGTGTATAGAGGCCAGAAGACAAGTGCAGGTGTCTTTCATTGGCATCCATCTGGAAACAGGGTGTCTTGTTGCTGTGTAACCCGGCTAGCTGGCCCATGACCATAAACTTCAGGAGGTTGTCATGTCTTTGCTATAGGAGCCTTGAGTTCTGGGGATCTGGATTCAGGGTCTCATGGTATGGCAAGTGCTTTACCCACTGAGTGATCTCCCAATCCCAAACAGCCACAGTTCTTAATCGGTCTCGAGTTTCTAATGCTATTATTAGAGCCAGGTGTGGTAGTGTGACCAGTAATCCCCGTACTCAGGGAGTGGCGCTTCAAAATGAACCAAACATTCCAAAACCCAGACGTGTGTATGTATTCTTTTTATGTATTATTACACTGTCAGCTCCAACAAACCCTTTCCACCTGTCTTTGCAAGTTTCTGTATTGAGTATCCTTAGGTCTTGATAGCGTGAATAAGAGAAGTAAAAATAATGAGCCAGGCATGGTGGCACACATCTTTATTCCCAGTACTTGGGAGGCAGAGGCAGGTGGATCTCTGAGTTCGAGGCCAAGCCTGGTCTACACAGAGTGAATTCCAGGACAGCCAGGGCTACAAAGAGAAACCCTGTTTCAAAAAACCAAAAGTAAATAAATAAAATAAAATAAATACTGTCTTCAATCAGTTTTAAAATACTGGATTGTAATAAATAGGGACTCTGTGCCATGGTGGCACATGCCTGTAATACCATCGTTTTGGAGGCTGAGGCAGTATGGTTGCTTCAAGATTGAGGTCAGCCTGGGCTACATATCAAGGCTATCTCATCCCCTTCATCTTGCTATAACAAAGGGACTCTGTAGTGGAAATGTCCCCCCTCCCCCAAGACAGGTTGGCCTCGAACTCAGAGATCCGCCTGCCTCTGCCTCCCGAGTGCTGCGATTAAAGGCGTGCACCACCACTGTGAGACCTGGAAATGTTTTACTCGGGATTTAGAGGCACATTTTAAGTAGGATTTTACTATCTAAACACTTCTTTTTAATGTGTGTGACCAGGCACAAGTTACTTTCTTTAGCAGTTAGCTCTGCTGATGTTGTAGTTTGCCTGGAAACTGGAGTACTGTTGCTCAGTATTCCCTCTCGTGGGTGCTGGGAATAGTTCGTGTAGTTTTTGAGATGCCGTGTTAGGTAGACAGTAGTTCCCGTCATAAACTGTGTATTTAAGGAAGGACACACACACATACACACACACAAGTGCACATCTCACTTGTTTTCTACTGGAAATCTTTGAGCCACTCAAAGTCAGCATCAGTGTTGTCCTAAGGGTTGCCCTCAGGAAATTCCGTTTTCCTCAAGAGGCAGAGAGAGGCCTATAAGCTTCTGTTGATCTTCTGAGGAGGGCTAGACCACCTCACTGTCCCGTTTCCGGATGTTGTCCATCATACTCCGGAGAGGGTTGGGCTCGCTTTTCAAGTCCTTCACAGTTTTGTTCTTGGCCCAGCAGCAGCAGTCGAGTGCCTCGTAGAGGAAAGCCAGGACGACTAAGGACACCACGGTGAACATGAACAGCAGCAGGATGACAAAGCAGGCCGTGTTCCAGTTGTCGTGGAACGGGTAGATGGTTTGCACTTGGAAGCCCAGGCCCTGGGGAACGGAGGGCGTGGTCTCGTTCCAGTGGCCAGAAGCCATCCTTGGGGCCCCACTTGTTTACTGCTGTTTGAGATCTACACAGAGGGAGAAAATGAGTATTTATAACCAAACGAGAGACCTGTGCCTTCAGATCTCAGCACTGAAGTTCCTTAGTGGATTCATAGAGTCACCGTGGGCTTTACCTACTGTCTAACGTCTAACAAAAGTGATGACTGAATCACATTTCAAGTTTTTTGTGTTTATGCCAACCAGTAAATTACACCCTAGTTTTTATGGATTTCACTTATTAGATAGTGTTTAGGACTTAGACACACACAGATAGAAGAAAATTTTACGTATGGGATTTACTGCTAATAAAGAGTAAAAACAGGCAGCTTGAAGCTTGACTAAAGCAGTATCGGTGAGCAATTATCCTTGGGAAGTCTTGTCACGCTTCGGGTGCTTCTCACCTGGGTTAGGGTGTTTCTGTTTCCTTTTGCCTCTTCCGTCAATTTGGATCTGAATCTAGAAATTGTAGCTGAATATAAAGTAACAGGAAGAGAAAAGCCAAATCCTGACAGTTTTCAGTAGGAGGACAAACTAAAGTTTAAGATGAAAGTTGTCTGGGATTACTAATTAGTTGTAGATAAAAGTCTCGAGTGTTTTATAAACCTAAGTGACTGTGGACAGTCATCTTTAAAGTGGATAAGTTTAGGGCTGGCGAGATGGCTCTGGAGGTAAAGACGCTGACTGCCAAGCCTAATGACTGACTGTGATCTCCAGGTCTGCGTGGTGGAGAGAACTGACTGTAAGTTTGCCTCGGGCCCCCAAGGCATGGGAAATGTGCCCCCCCTACAAATACAGTTTTTAAAAGCAGATAAATTGAGTTCTTTAAGAAGTGTCAGTTATTAATTTCATAAAGTAAGCTAATGAGTTAAATTTCTGTTTTTATACGAGTAGGCTCCTTCCTTGGCTGCTTTTTTTTTTTTTTATGGTGGTCCTAAATTTGGTATGTAGTTAAGGATGATTTTGAACTTTGGATCTTTTTTTCTTTGCCTATTTAGTGCTGAGATTATAATAGTATGTTATTATCCTTGCTAATTTCAGTATTTATAATGTTGTTAACCTGATACTTGTTATACCTTACATGAGAAGGTGAAGATTGAAAAATTGCTAGTATAAAATACGGTAATTAGCCGGGCGGTGGTGGCGCACGCCTTTAATCCCAGCACTCGGGAGGCAGAGCCAGGCGGATCTCTGTGAGTTCAAGGCCAGCCTGGGCTACCAAGTGAGCTCCAGGAAAAGGCGCAAAGCTACACAGAGAAACCCTGTCTCGAAAAACCAAAAAAAAAAAAAAAAAAATACGGTAATTAATTTTCTTTTTCTTTTTTGGAATAGAGTCTCACTATGTAGCCTTGGCTGACGTGGAGACCTGGCTGGCTTCAAACTCAGAGGTCTGCCTGCCTCTGATTCCCAAGTGCTGGGATTAAAGGCGTGTGCCACCATACCCAGTCCCCCATTATCTTGATTTTTTAAAAAACATTTTTAAGGAGTTACTAAATACCTATCCAGTATATAAAAGAAAAGAAAAAAGGAAATAAAAACATGATTGTATTTTCTTAATTCACTGATACTTTTATGCTTTTTCTTTACTACACCCAGACGTGTGTATGTATTCTTTTTATGTATTATTACACTGTCAGCTCCAACAAACCCTTTCCACCTGTCTTTGCAAGTTTCTGTATTGAGTATCCTTAGGTCTTGATAGCGTGAATAAGAGAAGTAAAAATAATGAGCCAGGCATGGTGGCACACATCTTTATTCCCAGTACTTGGGAGGCAGAGGCAGGCGGATCTCTGTGAGTTTGAGGCCAGCCTGGGCTACAGAGTGAGTTCCAGGAAAGGTGCAAAGCTACACAGAGAAACCCTGTCTCAAAAAACCAAAAAAAAAAAAATCTGTCTTTGCAAGTTTCTGTATTGAGTATCCTTAGGTCTTGATAGCGTGAATAAGAGAAGTAAAAATAATGAGCCAGGCATGGTGGCACACATCTTTATTCCCAGTACTTGGGAGGCAGAGGCAGGCGGATCTCTGTGAGTTTGAGGCCAGCCTGGGCTACAGAGTGAGTTCCAGGAAAGGTGCAAAGCTACACAGAGAAACCCTGTCTCAAAAAACCAAAAAAAAAAAAATAAAATAAAAAAAAACAAACGAAAACAACAACAACAAAAAGCAAGGAAGAGCAAGTGCTCCAAGTTGATCTTCATTTACCAGGGTTGGCCCTTCTGTGCCTTACCCGCTTGCTTCTGTCACATGCGTCATTGGGTATTATTCAGTCTAGAAATATTTCAGTACTTATTTCTAAAAGATGAAGATGTCTCTAAATACAAGCAGGGTGTTATTTCCACACCCCAACTGTGAAGTCATATTGGTTAAATTTGTCTTCCTAATACCAGAATGTTATAACTTTTACCAAAGTTACGTTTTCTAAGTTCTAAATCAAGTTTGTTTTTACAAAATCCAATCTCTCTGGCTAGCCTCTTGCTGGCTTCCTGTATTTGAAGGTTAGATTTATTAGCTGAAGTCATAAGTAAAGGCTTAAATACATATTTTGTGTGAACTTAAGAGACTTCTGTTTCATGGTACTTGATTACTTTTCATTCTTTAGTGGGTGACAACATGCTTAATGGGTGGTATGTGACCTTTTTTTTTTTAAAGTTTATTTTATATGCATTGGTGTGAAGGTGTCAGATCCCCTGGAACAGGAATTACAGCCATAATCTGCCATGTGGGTGCTGGGAATTGAATCCAGGTCCTCTGGGAGAGCAGCCAGTGCTCTTAACCACTGAGCCCTCTCTCCAGCCCCGTAACTGACTTTTATTATTTCCGGGACATATCAAGTTACATTGTCAGTAAGTGACGTATGCCACTTCGCACTACATTTCATTCAAGCCGTGTCTCAAGACCCAGGATTTCAAAGTGACTTTATCGGAGTGGGCGGGGG